TAGGAATTGTGCATACACAGCAAGACAGCAGAAACCTTTCTGTGCATTGCTTTGTGATTATTTAAGTGTTGCTAATACACTCTGAATGTTGGAAGTTTGGAATAAGGAATTCCCATAAATTTTTTGTAGCATCTGATTTCTTCTATAACCAATTTTGAATAGCAAATGCCTTCAGCAAAACCATAGGCAATGAAAAGTAGCTAAAAATCGCATGAACTAGAGGTTACGTCCCATCTGGGTTTTTTATCGCAATCGCATCAAAGCCACAAATGGTGCCTATTAAACAGAAGTGTCTGGCCCACAGGTGAGATCTCCACTACTCTCCGGGCATTCTCCTGTGATTTAGCAGTTGTTCCAGGGTGCTGACAGCAATGCCACTGCCTTGTTTCCTGCTCCCAGCACACAGGAGCTGAAGGAGGAGTGCCATATCTACGTCTGCCCATGCACCAGCTCTTGCTGTAGGAACACAGATAGGGACCCATTAAAGAAAGAAAAAGCACACAGCAGGCTATGCCCTGAACATTGCTGGCATGCTGTGGGTGAGTGGCAGGAACCCATGGGTCTGTCACTCTTATTTGGCACAGGAGAAACATCAGGGCATAGAGATGGCAGCAGCCCTTCCTGGTGCTGTCACAGGCAGATCTGCTGCTTGGTGCACTGATCTTGAAGCCAGCAAAATCAGGCAACCATTTGGAGTTAAGCACATGCTTACATGCACAGCCAAGTCACTGCCAGCACCCTGTATGGCTGAGCATGGGCTACTGCCCCCTGTGGTGGTACTCAAGAAAAGGTGAGAAATGTATGCATCACTGGACATCCACTGAAATGTTTGTAACAGACTAATACCAAAGATAATTGTATATATATTTTTGAGTGAAAGTATTTTGGAGAGGGAGGGGGACAAAAATTGCAACATTTAGGATGATCCATTCAAATATGAGACATGCTCAGTCTCCATGGCAGCTACCCTTTTATCTTCACAGCTTTTGCCTTGCTCACACACAGACAAATACACACACATATGTATATGCCCTTCACACTATCAGCTTGTAGGTTAGCCCCGAATATTTTTGTAGAAGTAGATCAAAAGAAATGAAGCTGGAGTTCCCACCCCAGCAGGCAACCTGAGCTCAATGGGCAGGAGAGATGAAGCAGCCACACTGCTCCTTCCCTGTGTCTGGCCAGGTGAGACTCCCCAGCACAGTGCCACATCACGCCCATGCAGGAGTGACCAACAGGTGGCCTGATTGTCTTCCCGTTACAATTTTAACACTATATGCTCTGATTGCAGCTTAAAACTGATGGAGAAATCTTCATTCTAGAGGCAGGAAGTGCATTTCATTTGCATAGCTCTGATGGGATTAAAGGAGGCATTAGAGTAATTAAGGTCAGAGGAGCTTACCATTTTACTAAATCCTTAATCCACCTCCACTCCATAATTCAGCAATATCATGGGGCAAAAGGTCACTGAAACAATTTATGTCAATCTGGCCTTCCATCAGAAAGAGATAAACCCTTTTCTGGACAAAGAGCTTTCTGGACAGTACACATATATATTGCTTCCACACAGACAACACAAAAAAACTGTCTTGGTTACTATCTGAATCCATTAACTACCCTGTGATTTGAGTTTGGTTTTTTCTCTGGGTTTTGTTGGGGAAATTAATAATATCTTTTATGCACATGAGCTTACATGGTTTCAATTTTAAAAAAACCCAAAACCCCAAAAAACCTTCTAGCTGATACAGATCTTAAATATGCATTCCAACAAATGTCTTCCCAAGTTTAAAATATTAAAGGATCCATCTGTTAAAATGAGAATAATAAATGCACAGGGAACATTTGGAAGATAATGTATTATTGAATATTATGTGTTCTCATGAGTAAGCTTGCAACAGTTATTACTTTTAATTAAATGTACATTTGACACTGCTGAAGACCTTAGCTCCCAAGGCTTCATTATTATCTGTAATCCAAAGCTACTGGATTGAATTTAAGGAGCCCTGAGATAGAGTAATGGTGAGCAAAACTGCTCCAGGGACAGACATGCATGCATGTAGTGCCTTTTGCAAATTCAGTTAGCTCAAAGCCAAACAGATTTTACTGGGTGTCCTTCTCCACTCGCAGCCTTTTCTGCCAATTTAACCACAAACGGTATCACACCAAAACAGTCCTAGAGGTTCTCTGTAGAGCTCTGCACCAGAGAAGTTGTGGCATGCTGGACAGAGAAGGGGTTTCCAGAGCTCTCAGCCACGTAATGCTTCCTAATGATGACCTTGACACCATGTCATACTTAAACCACCATTTGACCCACCTAATCCAGCAGAAGATGTTGCTGCAAGGGTGGTAGAATATGTGGTATTTAAAAGGTCCCTTCCAACCCAAATTTTCTATGATTCTACTTGTCTAAGCATTCCCAGATACCTGATTCAAGCCTCTAAGGAAAACAAAGGGAGTTGAGGGATGAAAAAAATGGGACTGAAACTGAAGAGACTTGTCAGCATTACTTTGACTGTACTATGAATAAAGAAATCAGAGATTTGAAATTGATGGATGTAATTGAAGCATCTTTAGCCTTGCTACGTGCTGTCAGGAAGTTATCAAGTTGTCTTGAGACAGCTTTGGTGACACACTTGTCACCACTGGTGACCTCAATGTCACTCCAGCCGTACATGTGATGGAGTGGGTAGCAGTCTCAGCAGTGGGACAGCAAATACCAGTGAGAATTAAACTCCAAGCTACAAATTTCATGCCAGAGATAATCCAGAATCAGAAGAAATGATTTTTCTTCTAAGCCATAAGGTACAGTGAACATGCACTGCAAGACCCCAGTCTGCAGCCGGGTGCTGCAATACAGCTGTATGCAAGGAAATTCCCTAGCAAGGGAATTTGTGAGTCACCCCTGTGCAATTTTGCCTCTGGGATGGACTGTCTGGGGAGTGCAAGGAGACCAGGAAGCAACTTTCATTCACCACTTGCTTGTCAACTTGTATTTACATAAAGCAGCAATTAAATTCCTGAGTTTGCTATTTCCCCAAACAAGAAGCTAATCTTCAGTTCCCCAGATTACAGGGGTTGCTCCTTGCTCCTGGAACACCCATGCCTGGCTCTTGTGCGTAGCATGCCTATATGTGTGCATTTGCATGCCCACCTTCCCATGCTCCCTGCCACAAGAGGCTGGTGCAACCGTGATTTGAGGAGAAGCCTTGTGTGCAGAAACTGATCCTGCCTTGCTGGTGCAGGGAGCATTGGCTAAACAGTCAAGAATAAATGCAGTCATCCTTGGCTGTTAAGAGGCCAACATGGTGAGACAACAGAGCCACTGAGGCAGATAGTGCCAGCCTGCTGGCACCCAAGCTGTGCTGGTCCTTCAAGCCCGGGCACAGAGTGAGGTGTGCCCTCCCTGTGGAAGGAACCCATGCAGCCCCTGTGGGTGCTTGCACAGCCTTGCTTTCACCCTCCTCCCTCCCAGGGCCTGATCTCTCTGTGTGAAGGATTCCCAGGATCAGCCACCTGAATTTCTTTCCAGATGTGAACAATGGCTGTATCTGCATCAACTGGCTAGGTGGAGCCCAGGATGTCCCTCCATGCAGCAGTGTCCCTGTCCTCAGCAGCAACACCTAAAGGCAGTGGTGTCTGGGCTAACAGTGCTCTGGGTGTCACCTTGCTCTGCTGTGCATGCCTAGTGAGACTGCACTGCCCCAAACATGTTATTGCAACATTTTCTCCACTCAGGAAGCCAAAGAGACAAGTATTTTGGTATTATTTTTAAAACCCAATCTCCTAAGTCAATGAAGAAGATGGAAACTGCTTGACATCCAAAACAATGCAACTTCAGCAAGACAAAAAAAGAAAGAAAAGCATGCTGTGAAGAAGGGGCGCTTGGGCATTTCTCTTAATCAAAGGGACAAACATGGCTTCTTGACCACTGACTGTTCCCAGCGTTGCTACAAGAGTAGATGAGATGTCTGTGCTAATTAAACAGCATCTGCCATCTCCACAGGCTGTTTGAAAGTGCTGACTAGCTGGTGAACAGATTAGCACTGTCTGACTCCTCTACTAATAACTGATTCGTTACCCAGATTTGGCAATGCTTTTCTAATTGTCAGTTAGAACTGCTGACATTCCTGAATATTGCTCCTCAGATGTAAATAATATTTATTTAAGGGTACTGTGGACTCTGTTTTGATTTAACAAGTTCAAGTGAGCTTACCTGGAAGGACCAAAACAGGTTTTACCTCAGCTGGTATCTTAATTTCATAACAAACCTGTCATTATGATTGTTTCCCTTACAAGGACATATTTTAAATCATATGCCTAAATTTTGGGAAGTCTCTTGAGTAGGGCTGGGATAGATAAAGCTGCTTTGCCATGGGTTTAGTCTTTGAGAAAGCATTAAGCCACTCTACTGAAGAGTGAATTTTGACCAGGACATGTATTAGAAAAAGCTTTTTTTCAAAAGGCAGAAATGTAGACAATTCCAAATTCCTCTTAGAAAAAAAAAAGTCTAATACTGAAAGCACACAGCTATGTTTTGTCTGTGGTTTGTTTACGTAGGTTATATACCAACTAAAGAAAGTGCCTTTTCTGAAAACCTCATTAGGGTTATTTATGACACCATCTTTTAAAATAGTCTGGGAAAAATGTTCTGATGAATATCATAATCATGTAGTTGTTTTAAGTTCAAAATATCAAAATATGAAGTAATGAAAAGTTGTGGTTTTATTCTGCTTTCCCCTATTTCAATTTCTTTATGCTTTTTTTTACTACAAGTCTGTTGAACAGATGGCCACTAGCTCCTGACAGCGATACTTCACTAAGTCTTGGCAGGATGATGATGGCTCAATCACCCATTAATTCCATGGAGGATAATGGCTGAAAGCACCAGATCAGGTCACTCTTGTTGACCAGATTGTGCAAATCTGTACTGGGAGTGGAGAGGGGGAGGAGAAGGGGGGAGGGCTTCACTGGTTCATTTGAAAGCTTTTTTATTTGAATGTGCAACATTCACATGTCAGTCATTTTGAGTCCCATCACAAATCCCCACCCTGTCCTCCTGTGATCCTCCCATCTGGTGAAAAAGCCTTAATATTTTTCACCTGCAATACAAAAATCACTCTCATACATGATGGATTTTCAATGAAAACCACTGCTGTGACACAGTCACTACATAGATCTGATACCTGATCTTGATTCATGCCTGGAGGCCAAGATGCAGCCCACCATAGAGACTGACCCTGGAGGCATTACACTCTTGACAGATGGGTGCTGCACATCCCTGAGGGCTGGGCAGGCTCCTGGACAGCTGGTCCTTCTTCAGGGGCTGCCAGAGGGAAGAGGGCAATCAGTCCTGTAGGTAGCATGCAATAAGAATGGGAATCACACTCACTCAGTTTCCTTTCACCTCGAGTGCAGCTTTGAAATGTCCCTATTTTCTATATAACACATTTTTAAGTGATTCTTCCATTAAAAGAAAGTGGGAAAGGAAAATTGCAGACCACCGATAAATACTGGTATTTTGATTCTTTTCTAAAAGAGAGAAATATGGAATAAATTTCCTTGCTTCATTTCTACCCTGCCTGCTCTTGCAGTTTACATTTTTCACGTGGTTGTGCGGACACTGCAATCTGTCTCACTAATGAATATAGACAGTAGCAGTAGGTGGAAAGTTGCTTATTTGCATCCTTTGCACCTCTGTGTGAAATTCATTACCAGTTTATGTTACACTGAAAGGCTCTTGGAAGGTGATCAAAACACTTGAAAACCTGAGCTGTCACAGCCTGATGAATTTCACATGCAGGTCCAAACTGTGGAGTCCTTATTCAGCCCCCAGCAAAGCAAAACTCTCCATGCAGCCAGTGGCTGGGAAGAGGTTGAGATTGGCAAGCAAAGATGTTGAGGTGGGAGCCATCTCCTTCTGCAGCTACAGCTATGGCTCCAACAGCTGCTATATCCAGATTTAGCAGTTGCCCCAAAGATGCGTACAGGCACTCCAGCTCATGCACAGGTGCAAAGACAGTGGCAAAGGATTTTGGCATCTGTTAGGAGACCCCTAGCACTGCTTCCAGCAAAGATGAATGCCAATGTTAATGTCAAGCAGAGGAGGCTGCTGCAGTCAAGGAGTAGCCAGAGCTCACCTGGCTCAGGGATCCTCTTGAGTCACCTCCCCTGATCTGAGCCTGGCTGCTGTCAAAACCTGGAGAAAAAACAGCAGCAGAACACAATGAAAAGGCAAAACAAAAAAGTTAACAGATTTAGTGATGCATGGAAAGTATTCACACCCTCAGGGCCTGCTGCACAGCAGAGGCAGAGGACATGAGCTTACCCTCAGAAGGCACTGACCACTGAGAGCCTTCCACACACAGCTGTCTGGTGACCTAAAGCCTGATGTCCCTCTCCTCTGGGCAGAACAAAACAAAAGATGCATTCTCATCGTAAGCCCGGGAGGCAGAAAATAATTAAATACTGTGACTTCTCTTTTCTTTTTGTGTGTTACCTATGTTGAGCCTGGATGTTCTCAATTAGTGTGTCCACTCATCTTGCAATTTATGATGACCGGTCACCAGATGAGTGGTCTAAACCACTCTGTTTCTAAACCATCCATGCATCTCCACTCTGGATGCTCCTGGAGAAGAAATCAGAAAAATTCCAATGCTGAGAAGAGAGCTGGTACAGCAAATCTCAGCTAATGACTAGAGCTTCTTAAAATTCAAAGTTATTGAACCCCTGGACGGGAATGGGATTCTTCTCTTTCTGTTTTAAGACATCTCACCAGTATATATGTTCTTTCTGAAATATCCATCTTCACCAAGGGCCTGCCTAAACTGAGTCCAGATATTCTCCAAATATTTTTCATGAGCACAGAAACTGGCATTCTCCACAATACCTGAGATCCAGCCACCAAAGGTTTCCACTAGTGTCCTGTAGCCATACCATGAGGAAGGCACAAGGTATCAGCCCTCAGTATCCCTCAAGGCAAGGGCAACATCACCACCATACCCACTATGAGTCAGACTAGGAGGACCCACTGGACAGCTTTGTCAACCCTATCCCTGCCAGTGGTCTGATGTGAGATGCTGAGATGATGTTTATGGAAAAAAAGGCACACTTCCTCTGCCCCAGGGCCTGAGGGTCCCTCTTGTTTGATGTGTTTGTAAATAAATCTCCATTTCCAAGGAGACTGTTTCCTGTTAGATCCTATTAAACACTCCTCTTCTTGTCCTGGCTTCCTGTGTTTGAAAGACCTGAACACTGTTTGTCGTTTCACCATATCTAAATTACCCTAAATGAAGTAAAGGCTCATTACAGCTACATGAAATATAAATGACGTGTAAACAATGACAAATGCAGTACAAGCATGTAGAGAGATGACCAGAGAGTTTCAGTTGTGGGAACAGACCAGACCAATGCTGTTGCAGGGGCCAGGACACATCCACTGAATTAACATTTCAGCACTGAAAAAAGACTGAAAGGAATGTCAGGGAAATATTTTCTTTCTACAGTTTCAGAATGTTTGGATAGTTCCTCTACACCCCTTTATAAAAGAAAACATGTATAAGAAAAATAGTAAACTTAATTTTATTTATAAACAGTAGTGCTACATTCTTTATTTTCTCTCACTATTATCTTCTCCCTTCTATTCACATGTAGCTTTAATTCCTTTCATATAATAGACACTTTCTACATATGAGGATAGGTATTTCAGCACAATAACCTGGTGCAAAATCAGTATTTCTTCCTAGACATTTCCTTGCCATTCTCTACAAGGCTTTTCCATACTGATTTTTAAAGAGATTTCTAAAATCACCTCAGTGAATTGTTGACTTGGCTACAATCTTTTGAATTCATCACCATCTACCCACTGGATTTAGATTCTGTTAGCCAAAAGTTCACATTGTGTAGAAGAAGCTGCATTGTGTACCTGCTGCTACACAATGTCATGTGGCACATGACATAAACTAAGTTGGGTATCAAGTTGGACAAATCCAAATCCTTCACTTAAGTGAAAGAAAATCTTGAAATGCCTCCCCATGTGAACTGGGAGTACTTGTAAGTCATTCAAAAATAATTTTTTTTGTTGGAATTCATAGCTGGTTTAGAATAGGAGTAAAATTCAAAGACTTCACAATATATGTTTATCAGAAATCTCCGAACAATAAAGAGTCAAAGTATTATGTGCATTTCCATTGCAATTAGCTTGCAATTAACATCAGTGCACTAGGCTTGCACAGATAATTTTTTGTTCAGTTTTCAGAAAAATCACTAACCTAACGATGAGGATTGGCTTTCACAGGTTTTTCCACTGAATAGTGATGATGGCAAGGACAAAATAAATTTAAAATATTTAAATTTTGTTGCATCATATAAGCGATGAATAAAATAATCATTTAATAAATTATGCTTCCATGGAAAAATTGGTCAGCTTGCTCTGATTCACTTATTTCCATCATACATAAATGTTAAGGTCACTGTGAGTTTTGCCATTAATGGGGCTCAGAATTTCCTCCTAAGAACTAATTAATGGGAAGGTCAGATTTTGTACAGAAGGTTAAAACATAGACATTTCATGTTGGCATTAGGAACTGCATCATACTGTTAAATTATAAAGATTTTGCACCAAACCAATGCTGTGTTAACTTACTTTAATCAGGTCTTCAAAACAAATTCTTAAGATGGGAGTGAAGTTCCATTTGTCACAAGTTCAGGGACATTTATTATCAAGTGCAGAAATAAATAGTTTTGAGAAGACTGTTCCTAGGGTTTCCTAGGTGCTAGTAAATGTTGGGGGTTTTTGTTTTGGTTTGGAGATGTTTTTTTTGTTTGGTTTTGTTTTTAGTTTGGATTTTTGTTTTGTGTGGTTTTGGTTGTTGTTAGTTTTTTGGGTTTTTTTTTTTTTTTTTTTTTTTTTTTTTTTGGTAAATGGAAAGTGTGGAACCTTGGATTTGCACAACTTATCAGCTTCCTATTTCTACACAATCCAGGTGATCTTGCTTTCCACCTTGTGCAGCTGCTTCTCAGGAATGATAAGGATCCATGTTGTACTAAAAAGTCAGTTTCTCTTACACAACCTTTTAAATTATTGTTTAAACTACCCTGCATGTCAAGTGTTAGAAATATCACCTGAAGTCCACAGTTCCTTTCTTTGTTTTCTCTTGTTATTTCTCTCCACTTATGTTGACACATGATCTTTATTACTAAACGTAGAACTGCCACCTTTCTAAGTTTCTTTTCACTGTAAAGTAAGGAAACTACGTTTAAGAGATATCTGCTTGTAAAACCTGCAACCATATACGTCTAGTGCTTATTGAGAATAAATACTGTTACAGGGTTCCAGGCAGCATGTTTGTCACTGAGTGCTTGTAAAGAGTCTGTAGTACCTTTACGACTCAGAAGAGGTAAAGGACAGGGAAGTGAAAGAGCTAAAGAGCACAAAAACTTCCATTTTCATACTCTGGTTTTCCAGAAGTAAGTTTGCAGCTAGTCTGTTCTGTTGAGAGCTAAAGGGGATTCAGTTCCAGAAATACGTTGGCTCAAGAACAGTTTGTAAAGAGATTGCTCCTCTACTTCTGTGTTATTAATGTACTATAAGTGACATTACATTCAGGAAACTGCTGAATGCTAAAAGGGAGTGACATTGTTCCGAAAGTGCTTGTAAAGACAAAAAACAGTTGGATCTATTTGATGCTGTGCAAATAAAAAAAGATGTTTACAAGCATTTTCCTCCAAATAGAATAATTTTTAGGAATTACCATTGTTACTTTATGTTGTGATGGCACACATATTTTGAGTTTAGGTTGCCTTCTATAAAGAAGGACATGAGAGTTACAGAACAGGAAAAGAGGCAGTGAGTGGAAACCTCTTATTAACAGCAAGTGTGTTCAATATAACATAGAATATTACTCTGGTTAAAAAAAAAATTCACTTCTGCTGAAATCATTGTGCAGGCAAAGACCACTGTTTTCTCCCAGTTGCACTGTGCAGAGATGTACTGGCAGCTCAGGAAGATGACATAGCTTTCTGACCTGTAGACTCTTTTCATGTTGCAGAACTGTGCTGAGCTCTCTGAGGGAATCCAGGATCAAATGCAGAAGCAAGCACATTTACTAGCAGACAACCAAGCTTTGCAATTAGCAGCTGAAACAGCAAGAAGAAACTAAACTAATTGAAAAAAAACCTAAACTCATATACATATTTGCATTACATGTAAATACCATTCTTCACCTAATACTAGTAAGGGAATATGAAAAATACAAAGTATTTGAAAGAAAATTCAAGATTGAACTCTATCATTATTTAATTTTTTAAAGGAAATTTGTGAATTTCTGTGTGAATTTTTAGAATTTATATACCTGCTTCTAAAGGTGATTATCCAGCTTCCCTGCAACATCCCTTGCAGATATGAAGCCATAATCAAACACAAATGCAGACATCTGTTTTTCAAGCCTGCATCTAATTAATTTCCAGGTAAGCAGAAGCTCTGGACTCAGGGGGCCAGACTCCCCTTGGGCTCTCAGCCTCGGGCTCCCCTATCACCCTCAACCCCACTGTGCGATTAGCATGATCGAATCTGCCACTGCTTGCAAAGGTGTAATCTTGCCATGAACTCACTACATCAGGAGATCTTTTAGCTGTACCAAGACAGCTGCAAGGTGCAAGAGAAACCTGAGCAGATACTATTGTTATCAAGAAGATATTTCTAGTTTAGCAACCTCACCACAGACTACCACTTTCTCTTCAAAGCAGAAGAATTAAGCCATTTTTCCTTGTAATCTTGCAGTTATTGAAGTAGTATGTCTCTGAGAGATTATTCTTATCGGAACATTACCCTGAATCACTCTTGTCTGCATCAGCAGATGTAAATAGCTTTTTTTCCCTGGCCTTTCTTCCAGAAAATACTTTTGTTCAAGTGCATATTTCTGGAAAAGTCTCTTGACTATAGTGTATTAATTCCATGCATGCACATTTTTCCAAATGTGAATGTGAGTTCAAGCATAGTATATTTCAAATCTTATTTCCCACAAATCACCGGTTAACCTAATTTTTCAAGTGTATTTCATTTGAAGGGCCTTCTGACTTAGACTTATCTCCCTGGGGTATTCAGTTTTCTACTGCGTTTTTGCTTTTCTAAGATATCCACCTGCATCCCATGGACAGCCTCACACTGGAGCAGGTGTGTGCCCAAAGGAGGTTGTGACC